AATGCAACTTACAGACGGTGGTTAATAGACGGGCTTTTGAGCTTGCAATTCCACATAATGTAATTTGTTTGATCACCCACTAGAGTATACAGGCGACGCACCTCAATTGAAACTCATGATCGAAGAACGCCCAGACTGACGCTAGTCGTTCTAAAAAAGAAGAGTCCTTGTTCGATACGTTTCTACTATTTTCTTTTTTTCTTTTTTTTTCTGTTTTATTTTTTTTTCTTCTATGACAATCTATTCAGAATGATATTTAAAAAAAGATACTTAAAGATACTACTAAAAATTCGAAATGTAATTAAAAAATACCAAAAAAAAAAAAAAGGGAAGAAAAATTATAAAATGATAAACTTTACTATTTATAAATTTTTTTCAAGAATAGTGGAATAAGCTATTTTGATCTTATCTTGCATAACGATTGGAAAAAAATGTATTCACGATGAATTTCCGAAAAATATCGGATAACAATTTGTTTCAAATATTAATTTCGTTTATGTAAATCATTCTATTTTTTCAAATTATATAAATGGTTATAAAGAAAAGTTAATTTTGATAAATATCCGTAAAAATAAAAATGTTCTTTGAAAATTTCCTTTTTTTTTAAAAAATTTTTGTAAAAAAATTATTTACTGAAAAATTTTATAATAATATTACTTTTGTTATTATACACAATTAAATTTAGAAATATAATATTTATTATTATATGTAAATATTTAATAAATATATATATAATCAAAATTATACTATATTATTATCCTAAAAAATAATATTGATATTTAAATTATAATCTAATATATGAATACCATATACATTAAAATAAACAAATCTAAAAATAAAAAATATAATTTATATAACAAAAAAATATTCACTTTCTAATTTTCCATTTTCAATTGATTTCTACGATTAATTATATATATATATATATTTTACATAATATTTAAAATAAATATTTCACCACAGAACTCAAAAATTTGATAAGTTCATAAAAAAAAACAACATGTATGCGCGATAATAAATTGAGAGTTAAAATAAATTTAAAATCAGATTACAATATCAAACTAAATGTTCGCGTTGGAATTAAACAATATCCGAAAAAGAATGGAAGATAACTTTGTCAAGCGAAAGTTCAATCTCCTGTCTAGTTTGGTAATGATAAAACCGTCATCGAATCTAACCGATCGTCGAGTGCGTGTGAACGCAACCGGATACGCTCTCGAAAATATTTCATTCAACGTTCAGTCCTGGTGTCGCCATGTGCCAAGCATTGACCGTGGACGACGTCTAGCGTGTGTCTATAGACCTATTCGTCGTCTATTAAAAGAGTAGTAGGTTGCAGTCTCGCGATTACATATACATACCTGTAACCAGCATATATAGTAATACGTGTACGATAGCACTGTCACGAGCGTGGCCCGACGACGACAACGACGTCGACGAGTTGCATGCGCGGGCGTCTCGACGCGCTTCTCAGTGACCCTCATAAAGCGTCGGTTCAACGGTAGACGCGGTTAGCAACAGATTTGATCAAGATCGGATTTACCGACGAATTAAAAAGCCACCTTATCCGCTGTTCGTTAAAACGGTTGGAATTTGCGTGGCGCTTCGCGCAACATGATTCCGTCTCCGTCATAATAAAATACAACGCGGCCGGAAGTGAAGTCTGCCACGTAAGAAGTGGTTAACATTTTCATCGGTTACAACGGCGTGAGACCATTACGAGTCGAATTTCAGAATTATTTCATAACTAATGGCGACTTGCCCAATGTCTCATTGATTGGCAACGATGATAAAGAATACGTGGAAACAATATTTGAATTTCTGGGCCTTTTTGGCATGCGCCACCATTCTGCTACCCTTCCTCCGTTTTTGCCTTTTCTCTTACACCCAACTATACGAACTAATATTAATAACCTTTGTTTCGTTTGTAGTACATTATTTATAGAAAAATTCAATAATCGCGTGGCAAGAACGCGTACTTTAATGCGAAACCGGCTATTGAGATTTGATTCCCCTTCGCTGCGTGAATTTAATTGTCACGAAAATAAAAAAAAAAAAGATAACCGAGATGCGATTATCTAAAATATAAAGAAAATTTAAAAAGAATTAACATGCGATCTTGTATAGGAAAGAGCAAGAAACCGCACATAGCAACAACCATTCATGTCGAATATACGAGAAATTTTTATATCAAATAATGTATTTCATGAATAATAAAAGATAATTTTTTCATCCTTTTGATTTTTTTAATATATTCAATAATTTTTAAAACAAAATCTATAAAAAAGATTAACATATGGACGATGAATGATAACAATTAAATCGATAAATCATAAATGTATATCTTTCGTTAAAAAAAAAGAAGAAAGTGAAGAAAAAAAAAAGAAAAAAAATAATTCTTACTTCATCGATTTAATAAAAAAAACATAGCATGGAGAGAAGCAATATTTTAGATTATGTGAGAATGATTATGCATGATGCAACGCTTTTAGCGGAAATTTTATCAAAAAGATTAATAGATGAATTTATAGAAATATTAAAGATATTTTTTGCCGCGCAATCTTATTAGCCTTCCGTGCATAGAAGTTACATAGCTTAGTTTGCGCTGCATCAGTGACCTGAGCAGCGAAAGTTCTTTTGTTTACTTGAAAATCACCATTTCATATAATTACACGAGTTCTTTTCATATTTCGAAATCATATTTCGAAAATATAAAAGACAAACGTGTATAATATAAGATGAGTAATATGTACCATCAAATGATCAATTAGAACCTAACCTCTTTAATTAACGCAGATTCAAAAAAATCTTTCTTTTGAAAAATGTACAATGAATTATTGCTGGCAACAGAATAAAATATGCAAAGTAAATTGAATGATACTAAAGACAATAAAAGCATGGTGAAGCCATTACGAGACTAAGCCAGTTATAATACATAGTTACAGCCAGTACAATACTGCAAAAATCTGGATCATACTTAACTGGGGAAAGATGAAATTTTACATATTTTTGAATTTCAGTTTTGATTTCGCATGAATTTCTATCATATAATTCCAAATATTGCATAATATAAAAAGAATTATTTAATATAATGTTAACATTTAATTAATATAAAAAAAATTAATACGATCAAAATAATATCGATGTCATAAATGCTAAAAAATATTATATATATTAAAATAGTAATCTAGTAAAATAAAATAGTAAAATAGACAATTATACATAATCGATAAACATGTTGTAACATGTAAAGATGATACGTCGAATGATGATACATCGAATGAATTTGTTATCCGATCGATTGCAACTTTCACGAGCGCGAGTTCGTTTTGTTCACTATTTTACGCTGCACTTATATACGCGTCAGATCACGCCTAAACATTACGTTGAGATAACCACACGTATCTTTGATTCATATACAATATTGTTTGTGTCACGAATGCGTTCGATCCCGTGGAGCTCACGTGCCGTAAATTATTCGGTGAGAATAGCAGAGCAGCCGTGTTGCAACGCATGCGCATGCTCGCACTCAAAGCAGAAATTAAACTGTGGATCGCTGCGATCGAAATAACTCGCGACGGAGAACAGGTTTCTACGGGTTCGTACGATAGGATTTGCACCGTAGATAAATTTATGGATTCACGATATTAAAACAAAAAATTTTTTTGTTATTGATTATATTCTCTTTTAAATTCTGGATACTAACATGTTTGTTATATAATTAATTCATTTTAACATAAAATATCTATGTATTTACATAAAACTTTTGCAAAGAATTCAAATAAATTATTGTTTTTCAAAAAATTATATATATTCTATTATTATATTTTTATAAAATAACATTTTCTGCTTAATTTTGAATATAATTTAATAATTGGCAACATATTGCATAGTACTACGAAATAGAATTGACACTAACCAAAAATTAGATTATACAATGTCTAAAAAACTCCACGGTCATCTACCTTTTTTCATCTCAGTCTATCTTGAGCATCTATTTTCAGGTCACATCGTGCGTATACTACTATTTTGTATTTCATTCGCATATATTACGCGTAGATATACCTACAGGCTTACGTTGGCGCACAGTTTCACGTCAGCCGAGTGGAACGAAACTTAATTGCATTTTCATCCATGCTGTTGACTACGAACAGATTTAATTCCTAACCTCACTCTTTATTCTTTTTGTTTATTCTTCTCACCGAGAATGATGAAACTCAGACAGAGCGTCATGATAAGCATTCTTTTTTTAATCTATCTTTCTTTTTCACTCTCATATTTTGTGACAGTGTCGGCCCTGAATCGGTCTTTACCTGCGGCCTCCGTAGTGTCCGTGGCAACGAGCTCACGCGAGTCCGAACAAAGGCGAAGAGGCGGCTGCGTGTTGATAGTAAGGGTAAGGAAGAAGGGGAGGAAGAAGAGGAGAAGTAGGAGGCGATAACAGCCGATATACTCTTCGTTCCGTGTACAGGCGGCGTTGCTATCGCGGAACTCTCCTCGCTTGGAAACCACTATCGTAGCACCAACGCACCTTCTTCCATGTTGCATGCATGCAAATTCAACGCCAAGTACCACTAGCATTGACGTTCACTTACGACAAATGCAACACAACACGCCATAGCCAAGCACAAAAAAAAGATGTCACCGGTAACCGTGCACTCGCATCGGGTTTTCACGTATCTTACGGCACAACCTCCGGTCCAGGACTGATGCACCACGGCTACAACGCGCACGGACCCTAGTCACGGCTACCACAAGAAAGAGAAAGAGAGAATCGTGACGCGCGATGCTCGGTCAGGCGCCATTTACAGAAACGCACGCACCGCCACTAGTTCTCTCTAACCCTATGTCTGTCTCACTCTTACTACTTTCATTTCCCCCACTTATCTACTCGCAACGTACCTCCCTCTCTTTACCCTAGTTCCGTCTTTTTCTATCTTATTCTTCCCCTTCTGACGTATCTATCCGACCTATCCCAATTACAGCGAACGTCCTTGAGGTGACTAACACCTTGTCGTCCACTGCTTGTGGGAACGAAGAGGGATGCATGAAAGCGCTGCTGAAGAGGTGGAAAAGATGGTGATAGTAGTGGAAATGATGGAGGTGGTGAAGAAGGAAAAGGAGGAGGTGAGTGGAACCACCAAACCCTCGTTGTTGAGAACACGCGGTGACGAGGAACTATGCTTTGATGTTAGTTGGAGAACAAAGACAGAAAGAAAAGAGCGGCGAATGCCGCATGTAACGCTTAGTCTTTCTTGAAGCTGTAAGTAAAAGGAGAGGGAGTAGGATGAACCATGCTTCTTAAGTGTCTGTACGTGAGAACGAGGAGGTTATTCACTGTTCTACGGAAATGTTCGAGCATGATGATGTTGCCACAGTAATGTGCCTTTTATAATCTCTGATAGTTATATGAATTCATTCGTAATGTTTATGATACTAATGTAAATTATCGATAAGGCAATAAATACTACAGTTTTTTAAATTATTTATTTTATATACTTTTAATGATTATGATTTACGCTTAAATAACATTGAATTATTTAATAATTGATTTTTATTAAAAATACCTTTCCCTTTTTCTGAGAATTATTAGTTAAACTTGTAATGCGCACCCCTAAATAATAATTATAGCATTGTTATATATATATATTTTTTTTTTGTTTAAATACGAAACAAGCGAATGTATTAATAAAATTTCATTTGTCAAGCGATACATTACCATATTTACATTGTATCTACATCATCTAACATTTTATTACGTTATATTCGTTTAATAATGTGATTAAGATAGTTTGTGGAAGGACTGTGCAGTAATAATACACGCGAAAATAGCGATAATAATGTATGCCTATCGTTACAACATACTTTGCTTCTACGATTTCCGCCGTATCTTATCCCGCAATTGTATTTTACTCAAATGAGATAAATGCGATACATTACTGTAATGCCGATTGATTATTATTACAAGAGTCGTAGTGTTCGAAATCGACTATTTATTGCTCCTAGGAATTTATGTTTCTCTGGAGATTCTTAATACTGACTTTTCTCCGAAAAATCACAGAATTCAATTTCATTCTTTTGTCTTTTTTTTTTTTTCGTTTGTTTAAATATTCATAAATTTTATTCATGTAATTGTTCCTCGAAAAACATTTGAGTTAATTTCCAGTATTACTGGGTTATCGAATGACAATCAAATATTTTGAATAAATTTTTTTTAGATTATATTATACGATTTTACTATTTCCTTTTTTTTTTTTGTCTTCCAAATAACAAGCGACGCACGAATCTCCGGACGTTTCATCGAGTAAGCGCAATTTCACACACATATTAATTCTACTTTCGAAGAAATATTTTTTTTTTTCTTTTCGTTTTATACGAGGTACGCACAACAACATTCGAGCAACGTGCATGAGTCAGCGACGCGCGCTCAACCGAATACGCACGTTAAAAAAAAAGAAAGAAAAAAAAACAGAGGATTCTCACACGTGGAAAAAGCATGACCTATAACGCACGTCGCTGTTACAATGAACAAGTGGTATCGTAGATTACAATATGGTACTTGCTCAGTCTACCCGTTTGTGAGAACAGACAAAGAGGAGATAAGATTGCCGCTTTATGCTTAAACTAATTGCGCGCTGACAATATTTAAAATTACCGATATAAGCGAGAATCGCGTTTTGCTTTTCTTTTTCTCGCAGCATTTCAATCGAATACTGACTGTTTTAGAGACCAGCAGATTTCCAAAAAAATCTATCTTCGCGATTAATGAGAATTCTAAAGCAAAACCAGAATTCTCTCTCGCTTCAATTTTCATTCTAGATATAACACAGTAGTTATAGGGTACTTTTACATAGCACGGAACATGTTTATTATATTTCCATTTGTGTTTTTATTCTGTTAATTTCTCATATAATACTAACAAAACATTTAATTACAAAACATGGTACGAGTGTGTGTTGTATTTTCTTTTTGTATGTATTATGTATGTGTCATATGTAAGTAAGTGTATATATGTATCGTGTGATGAAAGCATTAATTATGCATCTCTATGTGGTATGCATATCATCTGGTTAATGTAAATATTACGATTATTTCATAAGTTCTCTACAAGTAGATGGATTTTATAACGACAATTTACACGCCGAACGCGTGCAGTAAATACGTCCCATTTGCCCGCAGCGTCTCTTCGTTTAATTTTACATTCATCACGACTTCGTCTTGTATGGGCCTACGACCAATTCTTTTCTATAATCTATTCCGATGAATATGCAAACGCAAAAGAGATAGAAACGCTACTATAGTATGCGATACAATAATATATAATCGTATCTCAATATTAATCAATATTATAAATAGTTTTTAATAATTATTTGTCCAAACACTGAATATTTTACAACAGCCATCGATCTCAACTATTCATAATTCTATTAAACAGTTTGCAACTTTTACAGTTTCAATTTTTTTTTTTTTTTTAATATTATGCGTAGCGTGTCTGATCCAATATCATATCAATAATAGGGATATATCATAAATTTTGTAATTTGCTAAAAAATATTCTCTAAAAAATATGTTGACCTAAAGATTATTATGACTGATAATCACAGACAATTTTTTCAATTTTCCTTTCATTCCTTTTTCTTTCTTTCTTTCCTTTTTTTTTTTAATTTTTAAATTTCTCAATAGTATTTTTTTTTTATCTTTCTTTTGCTGCCTCTTCTTCATCATCTTCGTATTCTTCTTTTTCTTTTAAACAAGTACAATATTCAAAATTCTACAATTCGTTTAAACGTTAGAATAATACTATTTTTTTTTTTATTTATACATGATTTAAGAAGCGTTTTACATTTCAATCTTTTTTTCTTTTAATTACTTAATTTTACGAATAAAACGAAGAACCCAAAGACTCGAAGAGATGACTCTCGTTTACAAGAGGATGCAACGCTGCGATGTTTTTGAAATTGTCGTAAAAAGTATTAACGGGCACCGTACAGTTCCATGAATAACTTAACCACTCGTTTCATTATCACACCAAACTAGTAAATATCCAACACTTTCATTACCTAAAGCAAATTTATCTCGAGGTAAAGTATACATATACATATTCAAGTTCGAAGATTATACATATATATTTATGTATATATATATATATATATTTGTTTCTTTTTCTCTAACGTCAAAAATTTTTGCTCTTTTTCACACGAATCACTTTTCAAAGGTGCTGACAGGTGTAGTTTAAACAAACAGTGCACAATATGAGTGGTGTATTATGCTATCTTTTCATGTAGATTATAATTAATTGATAATACTAATAATAACCATAATAATGAAGGCTGGATGCGTAATACTAAGGATCTTGTACACATTTCGTGAATTAGGGAATCATTTAAAAAGATACAGAGTATGTTTCAGAAAAGCGCTCGACAAACTCTGAATATTTTTTTTTTATCAGAGAAGTATACATAGAACATAATTTTCCGTATCACACGGACGCTAAAATCTATATTTTTTGTTTTTCTTTCTTTTAGAGCATAAAATATTTTATATATGGAGATTTTATAAATAAAAAAATAATTAAAAAACAGTGTTCTTAATTTATCTACTGACACGTGTAAATATATACCCATTATAAATTATTGTTACAATCACCACAGTTATTATAATTTGTGAATGGGAATATGAAGTATAGTAAAATACACCGCATATATTTCATAATCCCAAATAGTTCGTGATGATATTATGTAACAATTACAAGAATGCATTTTTTTTTTTAAAGAGAAAAGGATGTTCTCTTCCCTCCCTCCATAAAAAAAGTTGTCATTCGTATCTTTTCAACAATATTAGACCATCATGTGCACCATGTTCTCTAAATCATGTTTAATGTAATTAGTACATCTCGTTAACCCTAAAACCGTCATCCATAAGTAATAAATATCAATAAAATATCTAACATTGCTATTATATTTTCAAGTAAATTACTTTTCTTATGTCATATTACTTTTTTTTTACAGATTAAAATTAATTAATTATTATATTAACAATATTCGTCTTCCAATAATAGTCACTAATTATTGGTAATCATAATATTAAAAAAAAAAAGAGAAAAAAAAAAAAAGATTCAAAATACCTAAAAAAATGGCAATTTCTCGTGACCAGAACAAGTTTCTATTTCTTTCCCTTGTTTTATAACTTTTTACAAATCAGCATACGCATTTTGTACCAAACCAGGCCGATTAAAATGTTGCACGAACGACAAATATTTACGTGCTCAAATAATGTTCCTGCCATCATTTACTTCTTTATATTATTTCGTTAAATAAATTCGCGATCAATATTCATCGTATAACGCATTTCTTATTATTATCAAACTCTTTCGCTGCCACCTACTATTTCTTACTCTAGGCCATTTTTTCGTGTAAAGTGCACTTAACGGTGTCCATGGAGCACCAAATTTAAGGGACAACCACCTCGGCAGAAATTGATTAACCGCACTAAAATACTTTATCATAGCTTAATGGATGCATAGACACAATTAGTTTTTTTTTTTTTTCAGTTTGAATATAAGTCATCGGGGTATATCTAAATCTATCACCGGGTTTAAAGCGTAGGTACATTAAAGGTAAGGCAAAACTGCATTTCACAGAAAGGTGCTTTTTACGGTATACAGTGATATATCCGTAAAAATCTGAAATATATTCCTATAAAGAACATTTATAACTTTTCCCAGTGTAGGAAAATATCACAAACATTTTCTAGAAATATTAATATTCTAGAAAAGTTTACTCGAAACAATGATCTAATTATCTTTTTACACTCTGTTAACGTAATTGATCACGTGATTACATATGCCTCTTACGAATCGTAGAAAAATTCCAGACAGAAATCACATAAAAATTATGATTAATCTCTTATACATGAGCGGTATGCTATTAAATTTTTGTAAAATAAAAGGTTTCTTTTTTTCTAGCGATTCATATTATTTAAATACAAAAATAAAGTAATAAGATTAATATTGTAATATTGGCAAGGCGGAAGCACAAACGTATAGGTGCATCGTTTAAAAATCTATAAAAACATATCAAAATAATATTGCGCGTACATAATCCTTCATTTAAAACAAACGAACAGGCTTCAATTTCTGCGGGGAACAAATCTTTGTTCCCCATTTGTTTCATTTTTATCTTTTTTTATCTTTTTCTTTTTATCACTACTATAAGACTTAAAATATCATCAATGTCTGCCAAAGTAGGTACACCTTCAGACAGTATCCCACGCTAGGAAACTGTTCCTTCTTGCCATTCTCTCCCCCCCACCCCCCTCTCTCATTTTTTCGCGCGCGCGCGTTCTTTCTTTGCTTCTTAATATCTATGTTATTAACTTAAGTTAAACTGGTAGCTGTACTTACATCAAGACAGTATCTAATCTAACAATTACATATTTTACAAGAACATTTGAAATCTGGCCCTACATTAGACATGAAATGTCACAAAGTTAATCGTACACCGTACACTAAATTCTAAATTTACATAAAATATTAAAAAATATTTAATTGTATGTCATTACATATAAAATCGAAATTTACAATAAAATTGTGTGCTTTTTATCTTACAAATTTCTCTTTGAACGTGAATATTTGGTATTTATCACGTGTTTCTATATTCAATCAATATATATGAACATATATGACAAAAAATGTAAATGACAGTCATGAAAAGTCATTAATTTTTTTTTATAAGTACATTATTTTTGTGCTATTTATATTTTATTCAATTTCATACTTGGTCCAATTATGCATAAAATTCTTAAATATATAACTCAAAATAATTTATGTAAAAGAGAACATTATAAATGCTTTTAGCTTATGAATGGTATATGAATATAAACTAAAAACATTTTTGATTTAGTGTAAAGTGACGATAACTCGTACACTTAAGCCTCAATAGTAGATAATAAGTAGAGTCTAGAAGACGTGCATAAAAGCACAGGCGTGGATAAAGTAACACTTTCATGAGCCTTAACGTGATGAAGCACGCGAGACTCGTTGGGTACGAAAGCAGGACATGTTCAATCGTTTATTGCTATAAGTATATCCCTTAAATCAACTACGAAGTGTAGCTGTTTAAAGTAACATTGTCATAACGCGATGTTTCATGTACTATATCTGGCCTTCTAATATTTTAAATGTATATCTATTTCCTTTATAGTAATAAAAAGCTGCAATCTCTGAAAATAGTTTGATGATTAAATGAATAACGTTCAATAAAATGAATCCTATTCCAAAGCGCACATAATTATAGCACATTATTTTTTGCTGTGCCGGTTGGCTGCTTACGATAGCTGTATATGCAGTCTCAATTGAGGTATTTACGACATCTGCGGGAACCGCAGGTACATGGAATCTTGATATCCTCGAAAGGAAATTTGTAGTCATACGTTAACTCTTCTCCTTGATTAATGCGACGGAGAGCGAAAATTAAAATGTGTTTCTTACCTAAGATGTCCACTACACGCGAGTAACAGTTTGGCTGAAATATGATTTGTAAATTATAAGTTAATTCAATAAAATTTTAATTACAGATTATTATAAATAAATATAAAAAATACTTTGCTTTTTTACAAAATATATATAATTCATTAAACAGATAGATACCTCGCATGAATGATTAATGAATCTAGCTGCATTTCCTTTCATTGTAGCATCAACTACTAAGTGGTCATCGATTTTAAACATGTAACATCCTATATTTTTACTATCATAATATTTTTCTCGTTTATCAGTTAACGAAGCTCGAATTACCTATAAAGATTTATAAAATATTGTTCAAGAAAATTACACACAATATATTAATAACTAATAAAAGAGATTATATAAATAACAACACGTTTCTACACACCTCACCGGCATACTCAATAACCATCTCTCCAGCTTCAATATCTCTCAAGCAAAATAAACCCCTACCATGTATATGAGAATGATACACTCCAACTGATTCTTTCGATGTTTCTTTAAGTATTCTAAAGCGCATTGCCATTGGTAAATTTGTGCTTGCCACTCGCCTATAATTAAAAATTAAAAAAATTAAAAAAAAATATAATGAAATTAAAACAAAAGATGAAAATATTGTATATAATTTTTAAATAATGTTATATGTTATTTATAACTTAATTTAAATTTAGAAAGTATCTTAAACATTTATTGTATCAAATTAGATCATAAATTCACTTATTTTTTTAGCTATAAAAATACAAAAAAAAAAAATACAACAACTTAT